GAAAGAAAGAAAGAAAGAAAGAAAGAAAGAAAGAAAGAAAGAAAGAAGCAATAGGATAATTTCAGAAAGCAATTGAAGGAGAAAGTGGGTGGGGAACAAAGACCCAACAGAGGATAAAAGTTTGTTCATGTGCCAGTGGAGACCAAAAGATTCTTGTCTGAGTTGACTCTAACAGAGCTGTAAATATATTTCTTGGAACAACTTAAGAAGAAGCAGAAAAGAGAATCCGTGTTCCAAGTAGACTGGCCAAAAAAAAAGTGGGGGGGGGGGATTCCCGGCATTTTTTTATAACCATATTGCGCCCAGGTACAAGTTTCCCAATTTAGAGAAGGGGGGGGAGAGAGAAAGAATGAGGCTACTGCACTTTTCTGTGGGAAAATAAATGAAGTTTTTCTTGTTCCATGAACCAATGTATACAAATCTTTTGTCACTACTCTGTACCATTGGAAGCATCTATTGATTCTAGTGCTTTCTATTTCCAACAGAAGAGGAATGTGACAAAGGCAATACTTATTTACTTATTAAAATATTCCTGCTACCACCCCTACATGTGATCCCTATGGAAAAACCTGTCCAGCCTTCTTACCTCAGTTTTTAACTTATTTCAACTATTTAATTAATGTGTCTTCCTTACTCATGTAGTTTCCGGCACTATCAGCTGGAAGTTTTTCCTCACAAACATTACTGCATGGGAGCCATTTGGTGCTTCACTTCTGTATAGAATTTCAAAACATTTCATTCCCAGGTCAAAATTCCTTCTACATTCACTCTGAAAGCCCAAGAATACCATTTATTAAACATGTGAACACTTTCAGAGCCATTTACTTCACATCCCCATTTCTCCACCAGACAATGATGGATCATAACCTTATCTTCAGGAAATATAATTAATAATTAAAGATGATAGAAATTGTTGTTCACATTTTTTTTTGTTTTCCTTCATTAAACACTTGTTCAGACTCAACTAAAACAGCAGATATTCTGGCAGAAGGCTGGAGATTACTTTTACATGGCACTACAGCAGGGGTGGGCAAACTTTTTGGCTCGGGGGCCGCATTGACTTTTAAAATTTGACAGACGGGCCGGGTCAGCACAAGATTTTTTGGGAATCGCCCCCCCCCACCCTTCCCCCCCTTCTCCTCCTTCCCCTCCCCTCGGAGGCCCCCTGAGTCAGGAGTTGCTACCGCCGGCGCGGCTCCGCGCAGCTCCAGTCACGCGTTGCCTCGGGAAGGGAAAGGCAAAAAGGAAGAGCCGCGGCGGTGCTTTGCAATGGGAGCAGCGGCACCGGAGGCTCAGGCTCAGCGGCTCCTGGTTTTGCCTTTTCCTTCCCAAGGCAACGCGGGACTGGAGCCGCACGGAGCTGCGCCGGCGGTAGCAACTCCTGACAGCCCCAGCTGGACACCTGAGCGGAGCCCGGGTGAAACTGCCTGTTGCTGTTGCCGGAGCACCACCGGGTCGCCTCCTCCAAGCAGCCCGCCCGCCCGCCGGGCTTGCCCTCTGCCGCGCGGCTCGGGGCCAGGCGCAAGCACCCGCGAGTTAAAAGGAAGCCGAAAGTTGCTGGGAAGTTGCTCGGGTGCTGGGAGCAGGCTTTTAAAGTGCCGCCCGAGCAGGACCACCGAGCCGGGAAACGGGGCACCAAGGCAGGGCAAAGCTCCAGCAGCAGCGGCCTAGCTTTAGGTGGCTCCAAGCAGCCCGCCCCGCCCGCCGGGTGGAACCCTTCCCACTCCTCGGCGGGCAGACGCTCCAGCCTGCAAGCTTTGCCTTTGCAAAGTTTAAACCTGGAAGCCCCGGGAAAAAAAGGGGGATCAGTGGGGACTCACCTTCGGAGAGGTCGCACTCGAAGGTGATTTCGAACTCCCAGCCGAGGCCTTTGCAAATTTCTTTTCTTTCCTACCCCTAGATCGCTCCGCACTGTTTTGCAGCTTTGGGGGCCACGCGGCACAGGGCAATTACGCCACGCCCAGCGATTTTTTTTCAGGGGCGGGCCGGATTGGACAGACCTATGGCAGCGATTTTTTTTCAGGGGCGGGCCGCATTGGACAGACCAACGGGCCGGATGTGGCCCGCGGGCCGTAGTTTGCCCACCCCTGCACTACAGCAAGACTTGATGAACCTCTTATTCTATGATAACTATATACACCAGTCTCCCTAGGTAGATTAACAATACAGGTAGCCCTTGACTTATGACCACAATTGAGCCCAAAAGTTCCATTGTTAAATTAGACTGTTGTTAAGTGAGTTTTGCCCCATTTTACAATTTTTCTTGCCATGGTTGTTAAGTGAACCACTGCAGTTGTTAAGTTAGTAACACGGTTGTTAAGTGAATCTGGATTCCCACATTGACTTTGCTTGTCAGAAGGTCGCAAAAGGGGATCCCATGATCCCGGGACATTGCAATCGGCATAAATATGAACCAATTGCTAAGCATCCAAATTTTGAACACATGACCACAGGGATGCTACCACAGTTGTAAGTAGGAAGAAAACTGTGTGTCACTTTTCTCAGTCCCATTGTGACTTTGAACAGTCACTAAACAAATTGTTGTAAGTCAGAGACCACCTGTATAGCCCGAAGTTCCCATCTCTTCAATAACCAAGATGTCTTTTACAAAGAGGAAATAGAAGCTGGGGAAAGAAAAATTAGTATGTGGTTTCAGTAGTGGTGGATAATACACAAAAAATAAAAAAGGACAGCAGCTTTGCTCAAAAAGCTTTAGTCTGAAGATGGATGTGATTTGGAGAAAGTCTACGATAGTCAGGAGTTCAGTGTTCACCAAGTAAAAGAAAATAATCTTCACAGCGTGCCAGGACCAGGATACATGGAACAAAGGTAAATCATGTGTACACATAATTTAGTAGTTAGGCTACTCATTCATGCAGCCCAGTCTTGTTGACATAATATTGTGGCTTTCCTCATTGTGAGTTGGAATTTTTGACCGCTAGGTGGAAAATGTAGGGATTGAAATTCATACCTTCCACTCTTTGAAAACAACATCCTTATTAAATTTTGTCTGAGACTTAGATTAGCAGTAGCTCTAAATTCTATAGAGGCAAGGACTTCCTTATGCTGTGCCATTATTTTGTCTCATATGTATGCATACATAAGCATTCCTATACATCTGCCTCACCTAAGTGTCTTTAGTCCATGATATTATTCTAGAGTGTTCAATACACA